GCGCGAGTTGTCGATCAACAGCGGTCGAGGAGGAGGCGGAAGAAGGAGATGACGATATTGGGGGCAACATCCTAGATCGAGGCTGGAAGAAGGATGCCAAAGGGGGCGCCGAACGAGGACGAGGAAAACCCCCTCCGCCGTTGATCTCTTCTACGGGTTCTCGGCGGAAGAGGCGAAAGCCGAACCTGTATAAACGATCAACGCTGATTCGAAAGCTATCGGACTGTCGCGCGCAACATGCTCGAGCCGCCCGTCGCCACACCATTGGCGGGGTCGCCAGGCGCCGTGGCCAGAGCAACGGATTTCTTTCGACGTGTCGGAGGCTTCGCAACGCTTGCCACGAACCCCCCCCCGTGGACCACAGCGCGCCCAGATGGCCCGATGCGGCCTCTGATGGCTCCAAGATACTCCGAAACAACCAGGAGGAGCCCCAAGGGGCGCCGCGATCCGCTCGAGGCCCCAAATATGCCCCCAGGGCGCCCCGACAATTCCAAATGCAGCCAGACACAGCCAAAGGACGCGACGCAAAAATCGTCACTTGCTGAATTGTTGAACGTTGCCAGGGCGTTCGCGTTGCAGGACGGCCCAAACTGGGCCCTAGTAGATCTGATCGCATCCCCCGCCACGCCCCCTGTTTGCTGCATGGGGCTCGCGCGAATGAGATGACGCAAGGCTCCGCGGCCCGGGTGCGAGAGGCGCCCAAAGGAGCCTCGCAAGGGCCGGCACTGTAAAAGGTCAAAGGTGTTACGACCCCACCACAACCAAGCTGGCCTCCAGAAGACCCAATGCATTCCTGCAGGAAGCTCCCAAGACGGCCTCGAAGAATGCGAGGCGACCGGCCACCGCTGGTGAAAACGTTCCTCAAAGTCCGCAGGAGATGTCAAGCACTGATCCGAGAAAATCGCAAAAGGCACCCCCTACACCGGCACTCATGAATAATTGACCCACAACGCAGGCGCGGCGGGATGGGCCGAAGGCATGTGAACCTATCAGACCAAAGATCTCAGAAAAGAAAACGAGGAAGATATGGCGACAGGAAGGCTCGCGCTGTTCTCTTGAGCCCGCGACCCCAACGTGAGCACACCACAGGCTCTGCTCAGCAAAACGTTTCGCGGCCGACCCTCGAGCACCCCCCACGAGCATCACAGCGCCCAAACACGACGAGTCGGGCGTGATATCCATCCTCATGCAAAGCTCCAGAGGCACTAACATGAGAACCTCCGCCCCCGCACAAACACTGGGTGTTCTCGCGCAAGCGTCGGCCACTTCCGCAAATAACGGTGGAGGAATGATTATTTTCAACAGGGCCAGCGCACGAGGGTGCCAAACAGGCTCGCCGTGGTTTCACGGGGCGGTCGTATTGCGCAATGCCTAGCATTCAGGGCAACCTGAAAATTTGTTTGCACGCAGCGCCACGAATCATGCGCACGCGTGCGCGCGCTCTTGCATATCACCCAGTTCACGCGCACCGCACTCACAACGTGCGCAAGCACGAGGAGGAGGAGGAGGAATAGGGGGAGGAGGAGGGGGAGAAGGAGGATGGGGGGCGAGGAGGAGGAGGAAGAGGAGGAGGAGGAGGAGGAGGAGGAGGAGGAGGAACATGAGTAGGCGGTGGAGGAGAAGGAGAAGGAGAGGAAAGAGTAAGAACAAGAGTTGGGAGAGGAGGGGGAAGTGGAGGATGGGGAAAGGAACGTGGGAAGGAGGAAGGAGGAGGAAGAGGAAGAGGAGAAGGGAGGGAAAGAACAAGCGCGGCAGGAGGAGGAATTTGAAGAGGAGGAGGAGGGAGGGAGGAAGAGAGTGGAGAGGGAGGAGGAGGAGGAGGAGGAGGAGGAGGAAGAGCAGCATGAGGCGGAGAGGCGGGGGCGCGGAGGACGGAGGGACGGGGGAAGGGGAGAGGCGGAAAGGAAACATCACGAAGGCTCGAGCGTGCCACGACCCTTGCGAATCTTTGCGAATTCCTCGACATGCACGCCCCACGCGCGCTTGCAACTGCGCGCAAACAAAGGTTGGCCCACGCAGTCCCCGCGACCGCCAATCTCCCCAAAGCTCTGCTTGGGCTGCTCGCGACGCGATGCAACGTCACTGGACCCGGACCAGAGGCTTCGCACTCGTGAGTTTCTGCAGCCAAGCTTGGTAATCCGAAGTTGCTAAGGCAGGGAATGCGCCGATCATGCTCTGTAGCGTTTTCACTGCTAACTCCACGCCCTCTGGCGACGACGGCACGATGCCCCAGCGGATGCCAGAGCTACCCTCGGCGCCAGTGACATGCAAGAGGAGGCAATCGCCGGGAAGGTTCGTCAACTTCCCGACCGTGAGCTTCACGACGAAGGAGCCGAGCTTTTCCGTGAACAAGGCAAACAGCACGTCGGCCGTAGAGCCGTCGACGTGTTGCTGCTTAGCCTTCATGTCTTCGCCAGGCACGGCCTCCCAGGGGACCCCGAACACATACTCCTCGCCAGCCAACATTACGATCGACTGCGGGCAACCCCAAGGAGAAGCACCCATGATGCACTTCTCCGCCTCGTTGACGAAAGACTGCACGTGGCAGACGGAAGCGCCCCGAGGTTCGGCATCCTCGAACTCGACGCAACCGAACGGCTTGTCGAAGTTCTGCCGCACTGTCTGCGCCAACTTCGTCTTTGCCCCCGCGTTGCCAGAAAAGTCGGAGACCGACGTGGCTCTGCCCTCCTTCTGCATCTTGGGGCGAACCCAATTCATCTGTGACTTCCAAATGGGCAAGCCCGTGATCTGCACCGCGATGGCCTTCTTGGGCTCCACCTCCCTCACCCAATGCACCACGCCCTCATGGAAATCTTCGCCGTCGTGGTCCCTCACGTTAACTCGGGTCTTACCCGCTTCCTGGGCCTTCTTGACGAGTTCGCTGACGTTCACGGGGAGTTTGGGCGCCTTGTGCCCTGCCATGCCCCCAACCGCCACTTGAATGGCAGCCTTCTCCTCCTTGATCTTCTTCGCCTTCAGCTCGGCCTCGTAGATGCGCGTGGCCGACCTCAGCAATTGACGGCCGACGCCCAAAGCTCCATCGCCCTTCACGTTCATCAGCGCGGCTTCCGCATCCTTCACGCTCTCGCTAAAGGTGGCCATGGCTTCGACGGACTCGTGCTTGTCTAGCTCCTCCATGCTTGCAGTCAGAAGGAAGGCTGTAACCTTAGCCTTGCACACCTCCAACTGCGCGCGCAGCGTCGTCACATGCTTGTCCCATGCAGCCTTTTTCTGCTCATCGGCCTCCGCCTTCGCGTGCTCTTCCATCTTCTTGTTGATTTCAACGATGCCCTTCTCGAGCGTTTCCAAATGGTTCTTGACTCGCTGAGACCTCGTGGTGACGCTATTGATCAACACTACCTTGAAATTGCCAGGGCTTTTGCCAGCGGCGATCTTCTCCCGGGAGGCCTGGTGGTGATCGAAGATGGCTGCCTCGTCTTCTGCCTGCGTCTTGTCCTCCATGATGCGGGCCTTCTGCAAGGAACCGACGTCGGAAACGAACGACGGCTGGATGGCGTTCGGCACGTCCGCCCTCGGCGTCATGCAGATCATGGATGCTGGGACCTGGCCTTCAGGAGTGTCGTTGTCAGCGGCGGGCGCACCATCGAGGAGCTTTTCGGCATGCGCCCTGACTTTCTTCCTGCTCTCCTCAATCGCGGCGCCGACGTCGGCAACGTCATCGAGCTTTCTCCTGCGGGTCAAGGACGTAGCTGTTGATTTGCGGGTCCCCACTGTGCGCCGTACCCCACGCCATACCGCGACACACGTTTGGCCGCGCCTCTCCGTCTTCTCGACGTCAGGATCCATCAAGTCCCGATTCCAATTGTCCAATGCAGACTGCTCTGTAGCTCCAGGCAATTTGCACTGCTCCTTCAGGTACTCCGCCCACGGCAAGTAGTCCCAAAGGTCGTCCTCATCCTCGTGAGCCTCCTCTTTCTCCTCTTCGACGACGGCGTGATCGTCGAACTGGAGTTTCTGGCCCGCCTCCTTCTGCAAACGCTTAGTCCTGTACCACGCGGCTTTGCCCTTGGAGTCCTTGCTGTTCCACCACGCCTTCCGCCGAGGATTCTTGGCGAGTTCTGGCAAATGCGCCTTGTAGATGTTGAAACAAATCTTATGCCAAATCTGGTTGCCGCGTGGCAGTTCCTGTTCAGGAGCGACCGTGTCCTCGCAAGCCCTGCATGTTGCCATGTTGCCACACTGCATGGCTTCAGTGGTACTTGGTTTGATGGGACCGAAACTGCGCTGCCCTTGACGCATCAAGTTGCTATGGTGGCGTCGGGGAATCGTTCCACACCGCAGTCTACATCCAACACGCGGCGAACGCCCCAGGCGAGCGCCAGAGCCCAAATAAGCCCAAAGACGCAACCTTGAAGGGCCCAAGCAGAGCCTAAGAGAAGCCCCAGAGAGGGCCCCAACAAAGCCCCAAGAAGAAGCAAAACCATCGCCGGTTCGTCCTGTCACCCCTGCTTGGGCGGCGATTGGGTCCGTCAAGAGACCGCTCTGGGTGGCCTCTTAGGCCGTCCTGAAAGGCTTCATGGGATCCTGTTAAGGCCCTCGTGGATCCCTCGTGAACCTTACGGAGGTTTCTTGATACCCCCCTTGGGGTTGACCTGGGAATTTCTTGGGACCAGGGTGACGCCAATTCAGAATCGCTGAACATCCTCAAAAGGTCTGGGACATCCCAAATTGGTATCATAAGCGCTGGCGGTAACAATATGTTCAGTCGGCGGTTCTGTTCTGGCGGCGCTTGTTCGCACGATGTGTTAACATTCCGATGTGGTAACACCATGCCAGAACTGGTGGAGATCTGGCTTCAGCATTATCCTGACCTCTGGCCGGTCCAATCACGCTCTCAAAGAGCCGCCTGCGAACGCATCAGAGTCGGCGCAAGAGGAGGAGAAGGAGGAGGAGGAAGAAGAGGAAGGGGAGGACGGGGATGATGATGAGGAGGAGGAGAAGAAGAAAGGGGGAGGAGGAGGAAGAGGAGGAGATGTCCCCTTTCGCTTCTTGCGAGTCGGCAGCCCACCGCACGCTGGGTTCCCTTGGGGCCACGGGCTGCCCCAGCAGGTTCCCACGACGCCGAGAGGAAGTGGGGCCCGCAGGCGTGCGTCCTCCCCGCCCCCGTCGCCGCAGCGACCGACGGGGGACGGAAGGAGCCTCCCACCTCCTCCCAGGGGCTCCTGAAGAGAAGGGCAGGACAACTTATCATTGTAGTCATCTTCGTTCTCCGCACACCACACCAAAGAATGTATCAACTGAAAAGCGTCTGCATGCTGTGCGTTCTCATGTCGCTAAAACTACGGCCAGGCAGCAAGCCTGTCCTGCGAACGTGGCCGAAATTGTGCCGTTGAGGAGGAGGAGGAGGAGGAGGAGGAGGAAGGCGGCAGCTGTGGATAACCCTACAGCGTCGACGCCGACGAAACTTTCGGTTGCCACGAAAAACTGGCAATTGCCCCGGGCCCCCGGGCTCGGCGAAGGCTACAACTACGCATCACCACTGCCATCACGCCACAGGAATTGTTAGCACAGAGCTGGGCTGCATTTGAGACGCAATGTTTTCCTCGCCACTACGGCCACACCAGAGGATTTGTTAACTCAGAGCCTGGCTGCGTTTGAGACAAATTGTACTCCTCGCCACTGCGGGCACGATTTGTTAACACAGAGACGGGCTGCATTTGAGACGCAATTTGCTCCTCACTGCTGCGGCCACACCAGCGGATTTGTTAACGCAGAGGCGGTTGCATTTGAGACGCAATTTGCTCCTCACCATTGCTCGCATACCAGAGCATTTGTTAACTCAGAGCCTGGTTGCATTGGAGACGAATTGTACTCCTCGCCACTGCGGGCACGATTTGTGAATGCAGAGGCGGTTGCATTTGAGACACAATTTATTCCTCACTGCTGCGGCCACAGAGGATTTGTTAACTCAGAGCCTGGTTGCATTTGAGACGCAATTTGTTCCTCACCATTACTCCCATACAAGAGGATTTGTTAATGCAGAGGCGGTTGCATTTGAGACGCAATTTGCTCCTCACTGCTGCGGCCACACCAGAAGATTTGTGAATGCAGAGGCGGTTGCATTTGAAACGCAATGTGTTCCTCACCATTACTCCCATACAAGAGGATTTGTCAACGCAGAGGCGGTTGCATTTGAGACACAATTTGTTCCTCACCACTGTGGGCACACCGCGCCGAAGGATTTGTTAATACAGAGCCGGGCTGCATTTGAGACGCACTTTGCTCCTCACTGCTGCGGACACACCAGAGGATTTGTTAACGCAGAGGCGGTTGCATTTGAAACGCATTTGTTTCCTCACCATTGCTCGCATACCAGAGCATTTGTTAACTCAGAGCCTGGTTGCATTTGAGACGAATTGTACTCCTCGCCACTGCGGGCACGATTTGCGAATGCAGAGGCGGTTGCATTTGAGACGCAATTTGTTCCTCACTGCTGCGGCCACACCAGAGGATTTGTTAACGCAGAGGCGGTTGCATTTGAGACGCAATTTGTTCCTCACCATTACTCCCATACAAGAGGACTTGTTAACTCAGATCCTGGCTGCATTTGAGACGAATTGTACTCCTCGCCACTGCGGGCACGATTTGTTAACACAGAGTCGGGCTGCATTTGAGACGCAATTTGCTCCTCACTGCTGCGGCCACACCAGAAGATTTGTGAATGCAGAGGCGGTTGCATTTGAAACGCAATGTGTTCCTCACCATTGCTGGCATACCAAAGGATTTGTTAACGCAGAGGCGGTTGCATTTGAGACGCAATTTGTTCCTCACCACTGTGGGCACAACGCACCAAAAGATTTATTAACACAGAGCCGTGCTGCATTTGAGACGCTGGCGGAAGACGCCTTCAACGGCGGCGTACTGACACGAAAAAGGGTACTGAATTTCGTGGCCGCGAAGAGGCCAAACGACCGAGGGCGACCGCGACCGAGGGCGTGGTGAACCATGGGGTAGCCACCGTTGAGGCCTGTAGACTGTTGGGTCAGGGTGTGTAGGGTTAGGGTCTGTAGGCTCCGGATCTGTAATCTGTTCGATCAGGGTCTGCAAAGTAAGGGCATGTAGGGCTATAGGGTTGGGGCTATGGGGTTGTAGGATTAAGACATCTAGGGACTGTAGGGTTATGGTTAGGGTGTGTAGGGCTAGGGTTAGGGGTTGTAGGGTTAGGGTAAGGGTTAGGGTCAAAGGGGTTAGAGAATGGAGGCTCAGTTAGGGTAAGGGTTAGGGTCAAAGGGGTTGGGAGGGGTTAGGGGTTGTAGGGTTAGGCTCAGTAGCGTGGAGGAGGAGGAGGAGGATAAGGAGGAGGGGGAGGAGGAGGAGGAGGGAGAGGATGATGATGATGATGATGATGAGGAGGAGGAGGAGGAGGAGGAGCAGGATGAGGAGGAGGATGAAGAGGAGGAACATGATGAGGATAAGGATGAGAAGGATGAAGATGAAAAGGATGAGGAGAAGGATGATGAGGAAGAGGAGGAGAAGGAGGGGTAGGAGGAGTAGGGGGGATAAGGAGGAGGGTGAAGGAGGAGGAGGGGGAGGAGGAAGAGGAGGAGGAAGGGGAGGCTAACTAGAAGGAGGAGAAGGAGAGGGAGGGGGCTCAGGATATCGGATACCGTCGTGCTTCGCGCGCGCCTCAGGTTCCAAACGACCGTGCGATAACAACCCTCGCGCCTTGGCTGGCCTGCGGCGCCTGAGAGGAAAAAGGAAGAAGAAACCGGCAGAGAGTCCAATGGAAGATGCGAGTATGATCCTTCCAAGGGGGCGCCTGGGAAATCTAATCCGTTCGTGGCACGGGCGCTTGGCCGAGGATCAGGACACGGTTCGCAAATACGGAGAAGTACCGAAAAGTACAGAAAAGTACAGAAATGCACAGGCGAGGCAATGACGGCCCTTGTTTTGTCCCCGCGGAGGGGTGCATTTTCCAAGCCCCCGACCTCCAAAACACAAGAGAAGTACAAAAATGTACGAAAATGTACAATTATGTACCAGTGAATACGAACTTAGATGTCACCAATTTGCTTGAATGTGTCTGAATGTGACAGAAGATGGGGGCGCGCATCAAGCGGCGACTAAAGCGAGCTTGGCAGCTGCAATGGCATCTGCTGAGGGGTGATGGCCCTTGTGAACCTCTTTCGGCCCCCCAGCGAGGCCGCGCTGGGCCCAAGCGACGAGCGTTGCGCCGCAATCCGCCTCCGATGCGTATTGATCTCGCTGGGTATACCTAAAGCACCGACGGTGCCCAGCGCAAGGGCAAGCGATGTAAAATCTCAATTTCCCGTTGGTGTGAGACCACGTCTGCCTCACGACAAAGCACACATCTCCAAAGACAGCCGTAAAAACGATGGAGGCTGGCTGAATGTCCAGACGGCCTGACCTGATGAGCACGCGGGTCACGATCTCGTCGTCGGTGGGTTCATCGCCCCCCGCGGCGCCATCCTGCACCATGATAACCGGAGCCTCGCCGGCAATCCCACCGTGCAGGCCGTCGCCCTCCTCGACAGCGACCAAGGCATCCTCATCCAACAATTTCCTGTACTCCTTGTCGGGCCTCGCGGCATCGATCTCCGTTAGCTTGCTGGCTGGTGCCATGACCAATGCTTGGTAATAAGACATCGTCCTATCGTGATGGATATCGCGCACTCCCTTCGAGAACACATGCTCGTGACTGAGCAAAGCAATCATGTACCACTTGCTCTTGATCATGGCATCCATGGCCACGATCTTCTCATCGGCTGCACGGAAAGGAGGCAGCGCCGCGACTGCCTGTGTCCACCCTGCACGGTACAAGCTACAAAGTAATCCAAGCTTGCTCCGATCGCGCCAATCTCTCTGGCTTTGCTGCATAACGAATGGCTTTGGCTGCATAGCCCCCCATACAGATTTCCATCTGACAGCTGCCATATTCAACCGATACTGTGAATCGCCAAAGTCGTCAACCTCCACGGCTATCACATTCAAGGCCACCAGCCTGTTCACCGTAGCTAAGCCGAACACAGACAAGTCGCTCACGTAGCCGAGAGCTTGCTCATTGCCCACAATGGCGCCTTTTTCATACAGTAATTGCACCAAAGATTCCGAACGCTCGTCGTCATGGGCATGATGGCCCGGGTCCGTAGGGACCACGGCGTCGTCCTGGGAAAAAAATCCAAAGATGATAAACATAGCTGTGCGATGGGTGGGTTTGTCGAGATGTCGCCAGGTGGGACCACGCGCCCGCCTGCGCGCGCCTGGCGAGCGCCTCGAACGGCGCCAAACAGCACAACACAAAGCTTGCTCCGCATAGCTCGCGCCAACGAGCTTGCACCACACAGCTCGCAACCATGAATCACGCGACATGGGTGCCATAGTAGCGCACGCGCCGCGCAACTCGCGCCCCAAGACCACGTGCATTCAACATAGATCCCGCCGAATTGGTTGGATCACGGAGCTTGCACCACATAGGTCGCCGACCTCGGCTTACCCGGGAGAAATTGCGCCGCGTAGATTACCACCGCGCTGCTCCGAACGAGAGAAGGCACAGACTACTGGCAAATAAGAAGAGCAGCATGAGGACACAACAGAGAATACGCAACAACAGCCCTCAATATCTACACTAACTGGGAGGGGCAGTTGGAGGGGGGCAAGGCGAGGGCCACGGAGAAGACTGACGACGACGGCGAACACGACACCAAACAGGCTGGTTCGAGATGTTTGCATTTGGCCGGAGTAAAGTCCTGCAAGGAAATCATGGGCAACATCCGATCGCTCAAAGCAATCGCCAGGTCAGCTTCTCTGTTGATTTCTAGCGCGCTGCCGACACCTGCGCGCCAGATGTGGATGGCGTTCAGCACCTCTGCCACGGGCAGCTTGCAAAGCAGCCGGTGTAAATCCAATGACAGGGGCCTCGCCGAGTCGACTTGGAAGATGACCTTGCTGTGCTCGGAGACCGTGCAAGCGCTGCCTGGGACAGCGAGCACGCTCACGCAATGCTTCGCCAGCCGAGCGTGCAAAGCATCAGCGGCCACCCTTCTCTCGGGGTGGGAATTCGTGACACGGGCAATGGTCATCGTCTTGACGCTGCCCGCATTGACTTCCAACTCCGCTGGCACTAGTGCGCCATGACCGCCTGCTCCAGCTGCTCCATCGTGAAGAGCAAGCGGGGCATGTCTTTCGATGAGATGGCGAAGAAGCGCGTCAAGTCCTCCGACAGGCCGTTCAAATCGACACGTTACATCTGCAATTGGCGACGGATCCAGCAAGCAGCCCTCCAACATCACAGAGGGCAATGTGAACACGGTGTTCGGGACGAAGAGGTCTTTGCACCAGTCGACGACGGCCTTCGCCTCAGCGGCCATTGCAGCGTCGCCAGACGACATCGCCTGCCGAAGCGTGGTCTCCCAAAGCTGCACGATCCTGGCCTTCTCCTCACAAGTCTCGCATTGCCCGTCCAAATCATGCCCATACACGCTTTTGTACACATCGTTGTGGGGGCACGCCTTGGCCCGGCCACCCCCTGCATCACGAGGAAGAAGGTCATGCAATGATAACTTTTTCCTCCAAGCGGTGCACAAGAAAGTCCAAGCCGATGCCTGGTCGAGCAGCTTCAAGGTCTCCGCTGCCCTGATTTTGGCACAAACGAATCCAGGAAGACTCCCATGTGTCAATTTCATCTCAGCCTGAATGGTTGCATGCACAGACTCGATCGTGCGCTCGGTCAGCACGCTCAGGGCAAGGTCTTGCAACTCCACTGCAAGAGCGGGCACGTCTGAAAGGCCGACTAACGATTGAGCGTAACTGTTAATCATCCCGCGGTACGTGGAACCAGGACCAAGAAGTCTGACAGCGACCCGATGCAGCGTCTTCCTCGACGCTGGGTCAGCCCACAACGTGTCGAACATTGCGCAGCACTCTGCAAGACAAGCCTTCGCGTCGTCCGCCCTTCCAAGAGCTTCGCCGTATCCACCCATTAGTTTCCATGGCAAGCGCTTGTGGTGGCTGAGTTTTGCCCCGATCTCTTCAGTGATAGAGACTTTCAGAGCATCGAACTCCCCCAAGTAAACGCTGCGAAGAATAGGAGGGAGCTTATGCAGAAGGTCATTCAAGCCCGTGGACGATGCCCCCTGAATCCAACGAAGCATCGTATCAGCCATGCCCAATACCATCTCTGGACCACGTCGGCCTTTCCAAGGGCACGTCACGGCCTTACTCCCAGTAGCCTGAATGCTGGCTCGCACCGCTTTCTTCCGCACCCGGAAATAACGATGACCAAGGAGAACGCCCTCGTGACACGGGCAACCTTCCAACCAGTGAGCACACTTGTCCACGGCCTCGCAAACAAGTCTGAGAGACTCACACCTCACTCGAAGTTCGCCCAGCTGCGGGCGCAAATTCGCGATGTTATTTAAGAGGGCACTGTGCATAGAATTCCCTGCCTCGTTAACGCTCATCTTCTGCATGTCGAAATTCTCGAGTAAGACTGGCAACCGCCACTGCAGCTGCACCAAAACGGGAGTCAAGAACTCCCACTTCCAATCTACGTGGGCTTGTGACCATGGCAACCATTTTTTCTTCAAAGGTGGCGGACAACATTTCACGGCAAATCGCCGTCTCAACTGCCTGTTCCCCAAGAACGCGCAAAGGTCCCGCAAGGTCGATTCAAATGCTTTCCACCCTGACAGGTTTTGGCAAGCATGCTCGAGGGAATTGTATAAGATATGCAAATGCCCTGGCTGCCCCAGAGCCAGTGGGAACAAAAACTGGTCGGAACACTCGAACAGCAACTCGATGCCACCTGCAAGTTTGTCAACGTGCTCTTGAATTTTGCTCAGGTCACCTCCGATGTTCGGGCATCGCTCGATGATGCGTTCGGCACCTTGGTCGCTGCAGTAGTGCCGAACGCTCCACCTCCACTCGTCGTACTCGGCCTCGCTCCGGCACTCCAGCCGGATGCCATGAGCGACCCTGTCCAACTTGATATGCGCGGAACTCGCGCCATGGCCGAGCACAGTTACAGGCATCTTCCTAGACCGATAACACTCGCCAATATCTGCTGTTAAACGATATGCCCAATAGTCGTCATCATTCGCATGGCGTGGGAAGGCAAACTCTAATGATTTCGTGCACAAATAATTCCACCCACTAATAGGAGAAGCATCGGTCAGGATGCATCTGACGAACTTGTTGCGGGCATTCACCTCGGGGTATTTCTGGGCTCAAAGGATGGCGAATGAGAAGGAGAAGGGAGGGAAGAGAAGGAGGGGGCGATCAGGGGGAGGGGAGGAGGAGGTGCAGAAGGAGGTGCAGGAGGAGACGGATGAAGCGGAGGCGGAGGAGGAGGAGGAGGACAACGAAGAGGAGAAAACGAGAGGAGGAGGAAGAGGAGACAGACTGACGAGGGGTAGAAGGACGAGGAGGAGGAGAAAGGAGAAAGAGGAGGAGAAGGCGAAGTAGAAGGGGGAGTGTATGTCGGAGAGTTGCTTGAACGAGAGCCACGGTGGACGGAAGCACCCATGCTGTGCGGCATGCCGTTCGGCATGCCCTCCGAGGACGAGGAAGCTCGCCCTCCTACTCCTCCTCATGATATTTTTCTCCTCCTCCTCCTCCTCCTCCTCCTCCTCCTCCTCACTGTCCTTTTTCTCCCCCGTCCTCCTCTTCCCCCTCCGCCCGGATGTTCCTCCGCCCTCCTCCTCCTCCTCCTCCTCCTCCTCCTCCTCCTCCTCCTCCTCCCCCTGCCACTCCTGCCACTCCTGCCACTCCTCCCACTCCTCCTCCTCCTCCTCCTCCCCCTCCTCCTCCACCTCCCCCTCCTCCTCCTCTCCTCCTCCTCCCCCCTCCTCCTTCTCCTTCTCCTCCTACGCATCATCATCATTTTTCTCGTCTTGCTCCTCACGCTTCCTTTTCCTCATCCTCATCCCTGTATCTTTCTCTGTCGCCCCCCCCCCCGCGCCATCCCACCCCCGCCCCCTCCTCCGCCCCATTGCCCCCCTCCGTCCCTTCCTCCTCCTGCTCTTACTCCACGTTACATCCTCCACCGCGTCGCCCTCGAGGGCGGAGGCCTCCAAGGTCGGCGGCACTGGCCGCAGGGCTTCAGCAATAAGGGGGAGGGAACAGGGCGGACCGCACCGTAACTCCAAAACCATCCAAATGAACCCTGACAAAACCAACGAAATCTCACCACGAGGTAGCTTCTGGGCCTTTACTCTCCGAAGTGCTCCCCAAAGCGCCTAGTGCGGCCCAGAAAGGCGCAAGGGGTGCCTGCTCCGAGCCACTGGGACACCATAGAGACGCAGAGGAACCAACGTGGCCCCACGGGGATCCGAAAGAACCCCTGGCGGACGAACCCGGCCCTTAAAAGAAACCCACGCCGATTCCCCAATGCCTCCAGGCGCATGCCGCAACGCTTCCTAAAATTATCCCAGTGCGACCCTAACTAGGAGTTTGAGGATCTAGGAAAGCAACATCTATACCTAAACCGAGAGCTACATCAACATCTACACCTGCATCTACATCCACATCAACATCAACAGCGAGACTCACATCTACATCCACATCTACATATACATCTACATCTACATCTACATATACACATACACCTACACCTACACCTACACCTACATCTACATCAACATATACACCTACATCTACATCTACATCTACATCTACACCTTCGCATTGGTTGTGTGTTTGATTTGCATTGCCTTGCCTTTTTTGCTGTTGCTTGCTGTGCCATTTGCTTTGCATGGCCTTGCCATTGTTTTCTTTTTTGTTGTTTTGCAGTGCCTTGCCTTGTTGCTTGCCTTGTCTATTTTGTGCATCGTATTGCTGTGCTGTGCTGCGCTATGGTATGCTATGCTGTGCTATGCTGCGCTATGCTATGCTATGCTGGGCGTTGCTATGATATGTTGTGCTGCGCTGTGCTGTGCTACGCTCTGCTATGCTATGTTGTGCTCTGTCATGCTAAAGCTCGGCGAAACTAAGATGAAGGTAAGCAAACTAAGATGAAATGAGCTAAGCTAAGATGAGATAAGCAACGCTGAGCTAAGGGGCCGTCACTGGGGGAACCGCGGGGCGGATACTGGGGGAACCGCCCGGGGCGAGGACCACTACCCGGCCCTTTAAGCATACACGGTAAGAACCCTTCTAGGCAGAGCCTAGGTAGGGAATAAGCAACGGGGCTTCCAGCGATTACTGGACCTGCAGCTGGGAAGAGACCGCAACGGCGGGGTGGGCCGAGGGCCGTGGGACGAAACAAATAACACCCCCGCTGAGATAACATATTCCGACTAGAAGACTTCAAAATAATATTGACCCCCTGCCCCAGACCCCGCATTGGTTGCAGGGGATCCCATCGGACCTCTCTTTGCCACAACATGGCCACGCAGTCGAAGCGAACCCACCACTTCCTCAAGGTGTCGTATTCGGGCAACTTGACATTGCCCTTTTCGACGTCTTCGCTGACTTTGCTGACTTGATCAGGGGGTAGCACGAGCCTGCACGCACTCACGACGACCTCCCTCAAGTCAGCGCTAGCTTTCATCATGCTGTGAAGCTTAAGGGAAGTAAAAACCACCTCGGGGCTGTGCGACAGATACTCAGCTCGTGGCTCTCCCAAGCCACGCTCGCCCACGTCGTCATCAGGTCCGACGTTTGGGGGGCCGCCTGCAGGAACAAAAGGAGAAACCCCCAAAGCAGTGCACAAAGCTGTCGGCGATGGAAAATGCCCAGACAACGCATCCGCAATCTCACGGGGGAGGTTCAACGCGACACGTGGGACGTGCAGGTGACCAGAAACTCGATCTAGGCATTGCTGCTTCAAGGAAAAGGCCATGCCGAAACTGGCGAAATCTTCCCCTTGTCTGATCGGAAGTGGATGGGCCAGGGGCGCGTGCTCAGAACACGACCACAGAACCATGTTGGCCGTTGCGTGCTTGCCACGGGAGCCCCACCTAACGGACAGCATGTGGCGGACATCCTCACGCATAGTTTCATCAGACATCGGCGAAACGCCATCTAACCGCACGGTCCCTCGCAAACAATACGCCCCATCAAGCTTGACGCAGATCCATACATGGCATGGGAGATCGACGCAGCAAGGGCCACGTTTGCGCCTCTTTGCCGCCCTACCATCGCCAAAGGCATCTGGCGGACGCAGAGGCGCGAAGTCTTGCTGTATCATGTTCTCGGCGTGGGAAGGCCGAGACGACCCTGAGCAAAAAGCGGCGAAGTGAATTCAAACAAACTGAAGTATTTCAACACTGGTAATTCCAAATAACCTAGAACCGCAATTCGCCTAGAAATCATCACTGGAAGGGCTTGTAAGAATTCGCGAAATGCCATGAATCGCAAAACGAACCGCAACGTGCCAACTACGCCAGATGCGACACCACATCGATCGTACAACATTTTGCTCCGACTTCTGCCGCTAACTAACACGATCGAGAAATGCCCGACGACCCGCGAAGGGCCAACCGTCGCGTGAAATATTTCCCCGGCCACCTCCCAAGACAATACACTGCGATCGCGCACACGGCTTGCAACTTATCACAAGCAAACGCGCGGGAATAGCCCTACCTGGGCCGCGGGGTTGCCCTGGACCCCGCCCCACTTACTAGAAAAGCAAGCCCGCCGCAAGCGGCGATACCCACAACAGTTGAACGAGGCCGCAACGCGGGCCGCATACTCCGTCACAAGCCACGCGGGCAGACAACGAGCGGGCCGATGACGGGTCGCAGGCGGGTCTTGGGCGCGGCGGGCGGGTCGAGAAACGCGGAGCGCAGTGGCGAACGCGACGGCCCACGGGCGGCCTGCTCGCATGGCTGCCCACGACCGCCTCCGCATGACCTTGCGGGTTTCCACCTCTCACACGTCGCGCCGCCCAACATCGCTACTCCGACCCCCCCCTGCCCCCGCCTGCCCCCGCCCCCCGCGCTGGCGCCGTTTCCGCAACCGCCGCACCCCATGTTGGTTTCCGTTCCCGCCGACGGGGCGTGCACGATGAGTTCGCCGACCGATCAGGCCGCGCGCGCTGCCAACATCGCGAATCAGGCGCCGCGCTATCGGTCCGCATGTTTCGCGCCTCGGGACCTTCCTCTCGCGAGATGCGCGATGCCATCGTTTGAGACATGCGTCGGCTTCGTGGAAGAACTGCCCCACCCTGCCCTTCGCAGTCCTGCATTTCAAAAAAAACGATCCGCATGGCGGCGGTCTCGCTTGCGACCATTGCCCGCAACCGCAACTGTTCGCGACGATCCCAAGCACCAGCCTGGCGCACCCATCCCAACGGCGCCCGCCACCGTGAGGATCGCAAACGCGCCCACCTCATCTCCAAAACAAGCGCTGGAAACGATCGACGGCGATTGCGAATCTGTGTTTTTTCAAAGCGGACCCTCCGCACAAACGGCCGCCTACTACACCAGCATCCTACTCCTCCTCCTCCTTGTCCTCCTCCTCCTCCTCCCCTTCATCGTCCATTTCCTCCTTCCACCTCCTCCTGTTCCTCCTCCTCCTCCTCCTCCTCCTCCTCCTCCTCCTCCTCCTCATGTTCATCCTCATCCTCAGCTTGTTCATCCCCATCAGCATCATCATGTTCGTGCCGCTGTCAATCCGCGCCAGAAACCATTCCAATCTGACTTCTGCGGAGACGAGGCGCCTCGCCTCATCATCTGGACATCGCTGTTGCCGAGGGCGGTGGCAGCGGCGGCAAAGCGCCGCTTCGAACGAGGAAAACTCAAACGATGCTAATCCCATTAAGCGCGATGCATATGTAAAGAGAGCGTGCATGCCGAGAAGGTGGTGGATGGGGTGGGCCGGACGGACCCAAAAGAGAACTACTGAGGATACACCTGGCGCTCGACGACTGCTACTCACCATGAATATTCCCGCACTGATCATGATCGTGCCGCTGACTGCCCGCACCAAGGTCCTTTCCCATCTGATTTCTGCGAAGACAAGGCGCCTCGCCTCATCATCTGCGTATCGCTGTAGCCGAGGGCGATGGCAGTGGCGGCAGAGCGCCGCGTCAAACGAGGAAAACTCAAACGATGGAAATCCCGGAACCCATATTCATGTGCTCTGGGAACCAGGTGATCTCAAACTGTCGACGGATTTTGTCGAGGATGGCCTGGACGAAAACGTCACAGAGCTGCTTCGGGTAAGGTTCAGCACGAGCCGTCGAGAACACGCCTTTGGGATCTTTGCCTTCCAGTTCGATGTGAGGTCCCCCCGTGCACGGACACCTATAGTCAGTGGAAATGCATGTTTTCAAACGGCATTGCATCCGGGGGAGGTTGGAAACAATGAAAGCGGCGGCCTTATTCCAAGGGTTCCAAAGTTCGGCAGAAACCGGCAAACACCATCTCACCTTGAAAGCGATTTTGTCGATCACGAAGCTCTGGGACCAACCAAACCCTGCTGAACCTGGAATTCTCCAAACGCACAATCATATTATGTTCCTGGGCTGCCGTCATTAACTGAACATACTGTAGCACTAACGAGTGGCCTAAATTGACATTGGCCTGATCTGGCTTGGAGAGTTTGTGTCAAGCCGCTACATAGTGATCATCATCACGCACTGGCGGGAGGCCGAGGCCGTCGTGCTCACGTGCTCTTGACCAAGGCTGACGCAAAAGACCCACCCACAGTGTGGCGATGACTGGCTGGCGTGCTTTCAGGCGCGCCTCAAGTTTCCGAGAATCGCGGGGTCCGCGAGGTCGTTGTCGGCCCGTTCTTGATGCCCCAGCTCTCTGCAGCGAGACCTGCACTGCAGAGAGACCTGCTGAGCGCAGTGGTGCCGCCGAAGAGCTCGATCGCGCGAACCCGCTGGAGGTCGCGCGAAGCCGAAACTATTCTAAAGAGCTCTGGACCTCATCGGACAGCGTCCTGATCGCGAAGCTGCACTCTCGCCTCTGATCGGCGGTCATGCGACGCCCCTCCTGTCGCACCCTGGAGCGCGCCTCGTTGCGGCGGACCTTCTTGGACTGAGGGGCCCGCCTGCATCTGCGCCCGACGTCGAGCGAGGTCCCGTAGTAGCGGAGCCTGTCGTGGCTCGGCCCCCCGCGGCGCAGCTGGCGCATCATGTAGGGGCGGCCCTTCAGCTGCATGTCGACCTGGGCCCTTTTTCGAACAGCGGCACCACCGCGTGAACGGCGACCTTCAGGAGCGGCGCGGACGGGTCGCCCGTCTTGAGACAACTCAGAGCTTGGCCCAGCCACAACGCGGCTGGGCTGTCGAGGAGGATGGACACGCCCACGAGCCCAACCTTCGAGATCTCCCGGCGCTCGGACTGGCGGAGGTTCAAGGCGCAGCAGGGCGAGGGCCCCCCGGCACCGCCAGGTCGCCCTCGCGGATCTCGCCGGGCTCGCAGGGCCGGAGGCACCCGGAATCTGCGGCGCGGCGTCTAGTCCGCTCTCGCGCAGCAACCGCAAGGCCATCGCCGCCACCAGGCTCCAGGAGATCGGCGGCGGGGCGACTCCAGGCTCGAGCTTTGGCCAGCCCCGCAGCGCACGTAGGAGTCGGGGCAGTTTGGTTTGGCCCCCGGGAAACTTGGCGCTGAAAAGCAGGAAGCTGGCAAAGGCCTTCTGCGCTTCGCTGCTGCACATGCCCCGGTCGTAACCTGAGTTGACATAGGCCACAAGCAGTGCGTCGGCACGGTCGACCGCGTCGAACTTCAGGCTCTTCATCTCCGCGAATCTCGCGATGTTCTGGCACCTGCGAGCGCAATCCTTCACCGTCGCCTGGTTCAAAGAGTTCGCCTCCAGAAAACTGGCGCCCTGCTGCAGCACCTCCGGGCCGGTGGTCACATAGCCTGTCCTGCGAAGAAGGCGCCCCTCGACCCTCTCTGCTCGAGTCTGGTCCGAAGCTCCGACCACTCCAATCGGCGGCGTCGCCATGGCCGCTGATGGCCACTCGTTGGCCTTGAGACCTGAAGAAGTTGACGACCGAGGCATTCGGCGGCGGCGAGGTGTTGGAAGAAACGTGGACGCATGCATGAGACCGCGCCTTCGGTTCCCAGTCTGGAGCCAAAACTGGCCGAGTTGAACTCGGATGGAATCCAGCGGCGCGAGGAACTAGAGTCACTCCCCACTGCCAGACGCGCGAGCTTCCGCCAACACACCAGGGCCCCAAAAGTCGTGATCCGGCCCGTTGCCAGGGCCAGGGTCGCACTCAGATTGCCCCAGGTCCAGATGGACCACCCCGAAATTGCGGGCGGCCCTGAGCTCGCGGAAGCGACGACTCCCCGAGCCTCAAGAACCCCAATTTCCCCTGGATCCCACATTCTAGCCGCAGAAGCCCGGCCCCAAGACTCCTGATTCAGTAAATGACGAGGCACCTCTGGAAAACCAAGATTATCCTCAAGTTGCCCCCATAGATCAGGTTCCCTTTGAGGCTTCGCAGTGTGAAGATCACGGAAAGGATCGATTTATTGTAAAGCACGCTCTCGGGCCCGATGAGCCCCCAGACGGTATCTCCATTTTCCGTGAACCCCGCAGGCGGTCTCGATCTCCCCGGGCTTCCACTCGGCAGAGCAAGCCGCGGTGCCCGTCTCGCGGGCGTCGGAGGCCGCGACAGTCGAGCACGCGGGCCTCCTCGAAAAGGCGGAAGACGCCACCGACAGGGAAGCGCGCCGCCTCGCCTCTCGCGCGGCGGGCAGCCAGAGTCTGGATCTCTTCGGCCCCAAAGCAGCGGCGAAATCGCACGTGGCCCGAGGCGCTCCGAGCGGCTCTCTTCGGCGAAGAGAACAAACCACGACGCGCCCGAGAAGCCTCTGAAACGCCCCCCCCCCCCCCCCCCCTTCGCACCCTCGGGCGCTGCGAAGACCACAAACACGCACGTCGTAATATTTCCAACTTGCGCGGACGACACTCAATAACCCCACGGCCCCCGCCGATGCGCCCCCCAAGACCCCCCGCCATCGCGCCTGCGTCCGTCTCCCCGTGCACTCTGAGCCCGGCCGTCCCCAGACGCTCGCGCGCCCTCTCCTTCACCTCCTGGACTCAAGCCGCGTCGGCGCCAATCGCGTCAAGGTTGTCACAGCACGGGAGGAGAGCGACGTGCTCGTCGGAGATGAGGAGGAGAGGATCGTTGTCACGAACAAGAATCGGACATTCGACATGGAGGAGCCTACAAATATATGATGCTCATGGATCTCCTGAGCCATCGACAAAGCCCAACTCTACCCCCTCGGCACCGCGGTCAAACGCGGCCACGC